GCAAATCAGCCTCAACAGTGTCAATAGATGGGGGGATTTGGGGAGTTTACTCTAGTATAGGTTAGCAAAACTCAGCTGAACTATCTCTGGTATAGGCTAAGGGTTCCAGGGTCACAGCGGCACATCCCCACCCAGAAATTCCCAAAGTACCCCCCCCCGGGACTAATAGCTTCAATTCTTTAGAACACTCATAATAAAAAAGTTGATAAAAAAGGTTGAGAACAAAGAACTGGATTACTATATGTTTTTTTGTAGAAAAACAGAAAGCAAAACAAGCCATGATTTTCCATATTCTCCACTCGAATGGCTGAACACATTGCCGGTTTCAGTTTTCCATCGAACGCCTACACGGTTCAGCTGCTATCTTTTCTTAGACTCCATTCTCTCTCTTCTATCTCTCCACTCTGTCAAAGTTGGAAAGGTGCATTCAGTACTCAAGGCACCACAATCTTAACTAAACATGAAAAACGAGGGTGAGATGTAATTTCGTTACGTTTACAAGCAGCTATATTTCCTTAACATTTCTGATAGCACTCCACTATGAAGCGTTTGCTAAATCTAGAGGTAGTTTTGTGTGCGGAAGATATTTGCAGTCATAAAACTTTCTTTTTTGAGATTTGTCCCACTGGCATATCACAGAAGTGTGCTTCCTGTGGCTATATTCTCGACATGAAAGTGTCAACAAGAGCAACGCCCAAGGAGCTTATAAAACGGCAACAACGTTCCTTAATCCCTGATGCGTGCTCTTAAACGATGAAAGCTCTTGCACATATGAGGATATGTAGACTTTGAATTTACTAAGTTACTTTTGACATTACGAACCCTTTCGCTCTCTTTCACCAAGAAAGGGTCATTATATATGTAGTAAAGCAATTTAGTGACAAAGACCTCTGTAAATAAAGTAAATCAGAGCGCCTTGATAATAAGCCGCTGAAAAGCGCCTTCGTGTACGTCTATGATCTGTTTCTTACATAACCTGGTACGTCAACTGAGTACACGCGTGTCTTTTGTTTGTTAGCCAGCAATGAAGGGTTAGTAAGTATATTTTGAACAGGGGAGCGCTAACGCGTAAGGTTTGGAGTGAGATGAAAGAAGCCAATTGTTCTAGAGAGAGACAAAGAAGAAATGAGGTTGAAGGACGAGCCCTTAATTGAACTAGACTACATTAAAAAGCTTAAGAAGCATTAAAAAGAAGTATTTAAAACTAAGAGCCCCTTTCCTGTGGGAGAAATCAGCTTGGCTTTATTATCTGAAAATTCGGAACCTGTGTTGAGAAACTAGTACGGCTTACAACTGAGCAGCGACGAGCTTTCCAAACAACTGACTAGAATCAGATCAGCTGGGAGTGTTGAGTCTATTATGAACTAAGCTGAGGAAATCACAACACGAAAGCAAGCTTTCCAACACATTTTATTTACTTGGAAATTCAATGTACAGCCTGGGAGAGTAGATCATTACAACATGCCTTAGAGAACTAAATCGACCGGCGATCGGTTCCCTCGGTGATATACAGTACAGCGTAGCTTCTGTTTGTGCTGAATTTTCTTAATTCATGCTTCTCGTATAAAATGTTTCTTCACAATATACATCAGAAAAACAAACTCGACATTTAGAGAATTTTTTGACATTCATGCACTCTTGCACGTTATTCAAATTCTGACAAATCACATCAACTGTTTTGTAATATAGTTACAACTACAACAGGAAACTGTGAAAACTTATTTAAATGGAATGGTTTCGTGACTATAAACAGTAACTTAATGTACAACTCATTACTTGCTTCACTGAGGTTATACACAGTTGAATAAAATCGGTAAGTTATTTTCGCAACCAGCAGACTGCAGTCTCACTGGGAATTATACAGAAACGTAGATTAGCATCCAACTTTAGGGCAGAGTTGTTAAGATAACTTTTAGTACAACATCGAATTAAAAACGGCTCAGACGACTGAGAGTAACAATTTCAGATCTGCTTAGGATTTGCTGGCCATTGAAAATTCAGTACATTAGCCGGATCGCACATCATTTCGTGCTTTTTTACTGACTTTAAACGTAGGCTGTTTGGTTAGTCATGTTTAAGTCTGTTAAGGTACTTTGTCTGGCAGCTGGTCAAGGACAGGCTCTAAAGCGCCACTCTTCTAGCAAACACTGATCAAATGCATTGATTTTAGGACTTGGAGACTCTAAGAACGATTCATCATCTGAAGAACGTTTACCTGACAAACTTTCTAGTGATTTCATGTTTGTTTGCTTGGGCCACTGTTGTCGCCACTTCGTCCTTTATTTCTTTTCTCCACTTTGTTCGTCTATTTTGGAACCATGTTTTTACTTGGGTTTCTGTCAGGCCTAACTCTGAGGACAGCTCAGCACGTTTGCTTTCGTTGATGTAGCGATGCTTGGTGAACTCGTCTTCCATTGTTTGGACTTGTTGTTGTGAAAACAATGGCCGTTGCTTCTTCTTTCTTGGAAGTCGTCTTCGTCTTCGGAGATTCACGTTGTATGGCGCAAAACCTTGAAAAGTGTTAAGAGGGTTACTCCACTGTGATTATTACGGCGACAAAAGAAAATTCAGCAAATTCTAGCGTAAAGGTCTGGTAGGGTTTAAGCAAAAGCGGAAAAAACTACGTTTATTTCTTCTTCTATTTCAAAACAACTAGTATTGTCTTTTAACATGACGAACGAAGCAACTTGTGCATTTGCAATTTCTAGAACCACAATCATCTTGGAATTTCGAGTATACGCTTTTGCTCTTGACTCTTTCACCCAAGATGCAACCATAATTTTGCCTTTTTGATTAAACTTATTCTTCGTCACTGGCGGTTGAGGTCAAGGAATGAAGGGAAAATTATGTCTTGTGTGACTATTCAGCGCTCTTCCGTAGCAAAGTTCAGGACGAAAGGCCAAATGTACTTCCGTGAGTCAGTTATGACGCGTGCACAATGAATGCAGCATGTTTGTGTGTGTAAAACAACAAAATAAATGCACATTTCCAAATACTTGTTATTTAGATTAATGTACTAACTTTGCTTCAGTTTAAAGCTGCAACAGTCTTGCCTTGTGTCTAGAATTCACCAAAGTGAACAAAACCCAATTTGTTCCAATATTGAAAGGTTTCATCGCCTTCAACAGCAATTTTCAAACATGAAAGCTTCCAAGACTGTAAGCAAGAAACTCGAAATGTTTATGGTTCTGACCCATTTAAGACGAGAAGATGGTAAAACAGCCTAGCACAAGGCAGTTTGGCTCAAACACGGTAACGAAAATGGCGACTGGGATTTGTCAACACTAAAATTTTGCTGGAGTTCAAGTCCCAAGTCCCTTAGATCAACAGTTACCAAACCTAAATCCCAGTGCATCAAATGTTTGTTTCTGAAGAGCGGAAACCAAAGAACCTCAACAAGGCTTGCTCGACGGCACGCTCTAGTCGATGTGTGCTACGCGTCTATTTTAGAATTTTCAGCACCATTGAAAAGGGAAAAATGTTAACACTTTCTGTTCAAAAACGCTTTTATTACAAATGATGCAAGTCCGTAATAAGAAATGTACTTACTAGCGAAGAATTCATGCCCCGGTGTAAAGCGCGAGTTGGAGACCCAGGAGGGAATGTCCTGCCCTGTAGCAATCGTTGGCCAGTTTAAAGGGCCATACAGTGGTAGGCCTAAGCAAGCACAAGGGTACAGCAATGGCGGCGAGCTCACAGCATAAGGCGTTGGAGCCACAATGGGTTTCGTCATCGAACATTTTCCATTTTCTAGACCTTCACTTGAAAATCGAGGAAACTCTACCATGTCTCTTTCATCTCGAAGGTTCAAAATATTCTTGATGGAAAACGAATCCCTGCTGGAAGACCGAGTGCAGAAGAGAGACTGAGAACTCTTTATGAAGTCCATGTCGGAACGATTCACTGGTTTGGTTTTAAGAAGACAAGTGCTTGGGCGGTCGATCCAGACACTGCACCCCGTCAAAAGGTCTCCACTCTAAGTATTGACGCCTGCGTACTAAAGACTAATTAATCCTATCAATCAATGCAGGACACGTGAGATCAGCCGTTCTGAGAAGTATTGCTGCTAAACAAAAACCAAAATACTGTTCTGACTCCTTTGAGTAGAGTCACCGATACCCTCGCGGAAAACTTAACCGACTAGTTCTGAAGTCAGTAATTTGGTATTTGTATCCTTTCCAGAGCCTGTTGAGTAGTCAGAATTAATTTCAGCTGGAAGTGTCTGTCGTTGTTTACTTCCGGTTATCGTAATTTCCGACAGGAAGAGGCAAGACGAGTAGAACCGAGTCCCTAATATTTTGACCGGAAATTGCGGCGAGAAAAGCAAATCCACGCAGAAAACAGGAGATGATCCGAGCAAGTTTCTCCTTTTCAGCCATTAATTTATTAATCAACTAAACTAAATGTTGTTATTCTTATTACTTATTGCATCTTAAAAAGTATAAAAATGAAAAGAAAGCATTTTTTATTAGGGTGTGTTCGCAGTCATTCGACCTTAATTGGCCATATTTTATTACGACGGGATTTCCACAAACCTGGTTTCCTTTTATTCGTCATCCTGTCGTCAACCTAACAAGGAATACAATACAAATGCGTCCGATCTGAATGGTCTCTTAGAATAACTGTGCACGAAAAATATACAGCTTAAAATTAGTGACTTCAGTCAAAGCTCTCAAATTTATTTGTCAATTTCTTGATCAATACATTCTCAAATCCAACTGTTGGAAATCTTTCTAACTAACGGTTAAACAAAATCCATTCTGATCATTTGACTAGCTGTTAGTCGCGACGGACACTGCAAATCTGGATCGACCGATACGGATACTACAAGAGGAAGGAAAGTTTCGCGTATGAACAAATCCAGTTTCACGCCAACAATGTAACATTTTGAGGAATTTTAAACCAAAAATAAAATAAAGTCGTAAAATAAGCAGAATTTTGCGATGCATTACTGGGTAAACCCTTTGCTTTACTCTTGTCAGTTTGTTTACCCTTAGGAAAAGATCATTTTGTTTGACTGCCTATATACTGCCTTCCGTGATGGATAATCGAATCAGCTGTGAACTACACAAAATACTAACTCCATAATTAGCCATTGGATCGTAATAAACACCTGGACATTTCCTTTTCACGCATTACCGCAGGAGTTTTCACATACTTAACGTTTGGTTTCAAGATTTACATCATTCACGCCGTCACGCCCGCAGCGGCTTGGTAAATGGGTATTTAGATCTTATTTTTGGAACTGCTGACGTTGTTTGGAAGCCACATACTGCGAAAAAAGGGTGGAGATCGCTATGAAGTGAGTGAAGTTTGTAGACAACGATAGGGTTTCACCCATCACGGACAATAGATAGCTTAGTATAGAAACCTTATCACAAAATTCCTGTCTAGAAACACGCAAATATTTTTGCACTGAAATAAATTGTTATTTCGATAATTTTTAGTACAATGTGCGAACGTTACAAGTACGTTGGAATTACCAAGCTTGAAAGTATCAAGGTATTGCTTGTTACAATCTCTGACATCTCTTGATTGAAGTTTTGCAACTGATAGTTTTTATAATATTTAGGGAGGTGCATTTGCCTTATACAAGCTTCCCTTCCTTGCTAGGGAGTGAACTACAATTTGTCACAGTATTTTTAATCTTTTGAATGCCATTAGTAAAACTGAGGGTTTTGTAATGAAAGTCAGTACACTCTGATGTGTTCTACCTCCATGGACATGCAATAAACCTCGAGGCCATGATTTAAATGATGATCACATTGGTGCAAATTATCCCCCTTAGTTTCCAATCTATTATTATCGTTAGGAGTAGCAATGGCAACAGACGAAGTGTCCGTGTTTTTCCGTCTGTCTGGCTGGCTTAGTTACGGAAAGCAACACGGAAAGTGATTATTTTTCTGGTTATCCTTTTTTGCAGAGTTCTCCCCATTTGGCTGTTTTCCGTTTTGATAGAGGTTTTGCAGGCGAGACATTTTGCTATGTGTATTTGGTCGTATTTGATCTTCGCATACAGTGTTGCTGACTTTGTAGAACTGCTCAGTACCAGACAAGCAACACATGAACAGAAGTACTAATCATATCAAGGTGAACCGCTGATTTTTAGCGGCTGACATGATCCAAATATCTCATGATTTACACCTAAATAATGTGGTATAGCGCATTATTGAGTTCCGATCATACATTTCTTTGTATCAAGAATTTGCAAGCACGGTAACCATAAACCATTTCGGACAATGTTATTGAACGAAGAACATTAGCTACATGTTTCTAAAGGGTTAACATGAAAACACTGAACCTGCAGGACCCTTCCGCAATTTTCAGGTTGTTGTAATCAATCAAACGAATATATGCGCATTTCGCCTCACAGTCTCTGCTGTGGTTCATAAATTAAATTAAGCCTGCATGTCAATTTGTGTTTCTCAGTTTGTTTTTTGTTGTTGTTGTTTTTTTGTTTTGTTTTGTTTTGTTTTGTTTTTTTTTGGGGGGGGGGNGTGGGGGAGGGCTCCATAGTCAATCTTCCAAACTATGGTTTGGCTTTTTTCAAAATATTCCCTATAAAATGATCTATACAGACCGCTGTGCACTTCTCGTGTAAGCCCGGAGCTCCATGAAGCCATTAGAGATCCAAGGCAGTATATATTAGCACTACAACTGCGACGGCAACTGTCCAGATTGAGGCATAAATCTATTTTCTCAAATACTTCACTGCGAAACAGTATTTTCTAACCCCCAAGTCAACTCGTCTATATTCAATGTTGACCACTAACTCACGTTCTGCCTTTTATTATTTCATTCCTGAGATTTTACTTCAATATCAAAAAGGAATTAAATTTACAGGACGTAACCTGGATGCATTAACAATCTTTCGGGGAAGGGAGACAATAAGCCGATGTGCCACCATCAGTTCCCAGGGGTCCTTACGCCTGGTCGCTGGTTTCAAAAGCAATGAAGAATGCTAAAAAACAGAACAACACCCTGACATTGAGGTATCCTTCATATATCAATTTGGATTGTAAGAGGATGTTGGGAAGTCCAAAAAGGCATACATCTGTACGGTGAACCGAGGTCAGTGTTTGTTCATCACACCTTGACGGAAAGTAGTCTGGGATGTCTGGAAATTTAACTCAACAACGGTGTCAATAATATGCCGACAATATTAAAAATAGAATGCCTTTTATTACACAAAATCTGTTATTTTTCTATCATTGAGGAAAAGTATGTTACCGGCTCAGCTTGTGATAAAATAAATTGGAGATGAAAAAGTCGCAGACAAACGAATTGCATTCATGTATTTTAATGAACTAATATTCTCTGTAAAAAGGAGCCTCGCTTGACTTTTTTTGAGGAGGATCCCAAATACAATTCTATGAGGAAAGTTGTTTCTTGGGGCTGTAACGGAGCAGTTAGTAAACTGGACAAACATTTTCACAACGTATTGTAAATACGGACGCTACTGATCAGTGCTGTCATCTGACTAGCTTACAAATAACTGAGTAATCACTTGCTTTTCCACCTACCGGTTTGTGTCACAAGCCAGAGATTTACGATGTTACACCACACACATGTATCAGTTATGCCATGTTTAGGCCGACATGTGGGACAGAGGAACTCAATAATGGTGTAGGCTTCATGATAAAGAGCCACTGTGAAAACTTCATTAGACGTCGTTAAACTCTCATATGGAGTTATTTAAGCATTTGTTAACACTGATATACTTTTAAGGCGTTAACCGTAAAGTATGTCTTCACTTTAATTATTATTACAAGGCGGTTTGACCGCTTCATGGTCTTTCTATCAAGTTATGAAGGAGGCATTGATCCCAGCCTAGGGAACTCAACGTTCTTATCTCAAGTCATGTTAAGTGTAGGAAGCGTTTTGTAACGGAGAACTATGTGGGACAAAGCTAAATTTTCACAGCCTCCATTTACACGCCTCGTACCGTTGTCGACGGCTATCAAAGTTCGCCAGGTATCAGAGACAACAAGCTTGCGAGCCCTGCTTACATGCAAAAGCTACGTTAAGCCTTCATCTCCAATCCAGTGGTGCGGCGCGTGCAGCATGTTTCTGTCGCTTTGATTTGAATTCAAATATCGTTTTTTAGGGGTCGGGCTAAAAAAATGTCTTCTGCCCTGATGACAATAGCGAAAATGTGGTATTCATTTCTCGTGGAAAAAATTTTGATGACACTAATTCAATAAACTTTTTTACCACTCTTAAGACATATTTCACAATCCTACTTATTTTACAGCAGACAGTAAAACATTTAAAATATTTTTCGAGAGGCCCTGTTAAAAGGTCAGGAAGGGAACTATGCACTACTGATGAAAGAATGCACTATTAAACACACGCTACATTCTGAAAGTTTCCCCACGGCGTTCATTTTTTAATTTGGGGATATGGTCATTCTCTAACATCTTTAAAACTTCTCATTATCCTTTTTTCTATCCTCAGTACTCAGTGCCCAGCGATTTTGTGATTGTCGTTAATATTGTGCAATCATTCCGGCAGCGGTGATCGAGGAGCTGGACAAATTCTAAGGAAGAAATCGATCTGTACGAGACCTTATCCCAATACTCACATGTTACATTTTAGAATTGACTCATTATGGTATCTGACTTGCAAAAGCACTACAACAAGCCAACACCACATTGATTATAACACAAAACGTCGTTCTCCAGTGAAAAATAAACTCTCGACCACCAGACATGATAGCAGCTTTTACTAATAAGCAATTAGGTCAATTAGCCGTGAGTCCGATCCGAAAGGATTATCGGGAGAAACTTAAAAAGGATAACAGTTAAATTCAGAACCAAAATTAACTTTCAGGTTGTTTTATCTTAAGGAGCAACGCGGGCATACCATTGAATAGAACTCGTATGTGATGCGGCTGATCAGGCACACACTTACGGTCCAATGTCCCAGAAACAAGGACAGATTTAAAGTAGTTGTCTAATCAATGAGAACATGTTTGAATCGTAGCGTGATATTAACTGTATTGGAATATTGACCTAAACCAGTTGCGTGCTTCCGTATTGACTTATAAATACTTCCTTGACGTAATTACTCGGAAATGGTTAGGTTGAAAGAGGAAAACATAGGAAGAAACCCACAAAAACGTCAACATTTATTGAATGTCCTGAAATTGCCATTCGAGTAAGCAGTGTGTAGTTTGCCTGTGTAGTTGTACAAAATCTTAACGGCTTAAGATTAGTGATAACGAATAACAAATGATTACAAATGTTTTCTCCTTCCCCCAGTCATTCGAAAGACCGTCTGATTTCGAGATGGCTGTGGCATAGATCTACTGAAGATCTAGGAATTTTTTAACGAGCTTTTTCTTGATCCTTAAATTTCACAACTTCTTAAGTTGTGTGTATAACTGCGATGATCCATCTTGTCTTCATTTCCGTACCATTGTCCCGTACCATTGATGTAGTTTAGCCTCGCCTGTAAAACAGACGGTTTAGCGGGACAGCCGGAGTGCAAAGCACTGAGTGCTAAATCGCCTGTTCTGCAGGCTAGTTTAGCTCAAGCATTATCTACACTTCCCAACAAGAGATTCTTCCAGTCTTGCAGAATATTTTGAGTCTATACCATGAAACGACGTTTTTCTGCGACGTTTCTCTAAACTTTTTCGAGACCGTCGTTGGGTTGGAAAATCTCACCCATGGTTCAAATATTGGTTGGCAGTGGGTTTCCTCTTAAACTTCTCAACCGAAAATTTGTTGAGAAGTTTTCTTTCATTTAAATGCTTTGTACATGTTAAAGCGGAGATTGAAATTCCTTTGGTGTGTATTTGACAAGTTAAGGCAATATAGTAGCCTCGTTTTCAAGACACATGACGCTGCTATTGCCACCCGTCCCTAATGGAAACCCTTTGACAAGGCACAAAACCACTCCAAGCGCCACCAACGTTTGTATTCGCGACACAAAGGGAAACCAACAAACTCTCCAGGCTTTTTAATTCAAAATATTGCAAATGAGTCAACAGAGGCAACCTATCTTATAAGTCTGTTGAATTAATAATTTCAAATGTTGCGATACTTTCCATAAAACTAAATACTTATCGTGGCCGAACACAGTTTTTGATACCTATTCATTCAGTATTTTTCTAAAACCGACTCCATTTGGTCGCCAAAAATGGCAAGATTTAAGTTAACACAGACTTCGGTTTTTTGATAGTTTAGCTGACTTACGAGCTATTACCATGGCAACATAAATAGAAAGCGGTTTTACTTATTTGTAGAACATCTAGTCTTCAGATCTTTTTCATCGTTTGCATGCAGCAAGCTTGAAACAGTGTTCACACTATTTTAATGATGGTTTAACAGATTTTCAATTATCCTTTGTTGAAGGATAACTGCAATATCTAGAATTTCCGCTGTTAAATTTCATTTTGTTTTCAATACTTCATTAACTTATTTTCTAAACTATTTCCTTGCCAAATTTCGTGAAATTCTAAAAAATAGTTCTCGAGAAATGGGAGTGTTTCCGAGAAAGCTATTCACAGCACGCAGTCTCACTATGCTGCATTTAACCGAGTTCTTTCGCTGACAAAGAAACACCCGAGACATTCTGGGTTCTTGACATTGTTACTTTTTCGACATACTCTTCTTATAAAAAATAAAATATTAATGCACTTTTTTTATTTTTGAGGAAAAATAGCACAGATGGCGCGGGCATTGAGCAAATATAATGATCACTGTATCGACGCCATGTTTGTTTTTTGGGGGGATTTTCTTTCTTTTTTTTTTTGGCCAAACGTAGGGAAACGATAGAGAAAGTGGTCTATTGAAAGAAAAATAGGGATCACAGAACGTCCAAGATCGCCAAATTCACGCAGTTGTAGCAATAACGCGCGTTTGATTCATGACGTGACATATAACCTCCTTTGCACGCCAATGCGATCAAGAGCAGGGTATTCTATGGGCTTTACATCATGGCTCATGGAATCAAAAGCGCGTCACACATGCGAGTGGGATCCAAAACAGTGTACATATGTTCCTGTCACGCAACATTCTGTGGTTGAAGAGCGAGTTATATGCGCTTGCATCTCGGCTGGTGCAATCAGAAGCAGGTTTGTAAGAGCGTACAATCAAGAGCACGACGTTATCAACGCTTGTAGCACAGGCAGGTGGGACAACGAACAAGGTATTATATGCGCTAGTCATGCAGCCTTGTATGATAAGGAGGAGGACAGCGCATTCTTGTCTAATACTGAGTTGCGCTTCGGGAGCAGGAATATTTTATTGCAGTAAGAAACAAAACTTGCCAAATCACACAGCTGGTCAGTGCGACCAAGAGCTGCGTATTAACTCGGCTTGTAACGAAAGCCAATTAGTGGCGCTGGCAACACCGGCTAGTGCGATCAACAAAAGTCAGTAACAACGACACAGGTTAGTGCGATCAAGATCATCATTAGCGTTTGTCAGGTAGCTTCACAGGTTATTATTAGCTTCTGTAACGCAGGCAAGTGAGATCAAAAGCGGAGTATTGTGCACTCATTTTGTAAGACTGTTCATGTTTGACTTGGCTTTAGGCTGTAAATAACCTTAGATTACCCAGTAGTGCGATCATGTGCTCGTCTTGTACATACATGTATATAAATATTTAGAGTGGAATCCCAATTCCTCTAACCTCAGAGGGAAACGCAAATGGGTTCAAAATATCGGGAGGGCTCCAGAAACTACTGCTTCACTCCAAATAAGATGCGATACAGTCAGCCATCAAATGTGACAGCACTTAGTTTCCAGTCCACCAGTTTTTTTTCAGTTCTTTTCCTCATTTTGCATCAGTCGAAACCACAGCCAGCAAGCAGTCTCGGCGATAAAAGAAGTGAGTCGATAAACAGTATTTCATCTTCTTCTGAAGGCCCGAGATATACGCCAAGCGTTTGGTTCTTCGTATCTGTTAATAGAACATTGAATGAGTTGAGTCAGGTACCATTCGGTTGACATACAATTGATAGGGACATTACTTCAAAGACTTTCTACATACTTTAGTTCGTCTAGTGTGATCGTCCGAGAGAGTGTAGCCTCAAAATTAGTGCCTGACCTTTACTGATTGGTCCGTTTTGCACTAATGCTATTGGCTGTTAAGAACGCTGTTAAGTTCGTAAAAAGTACATTGGTCTTGTGTATCCTTAACGTAGATTATTGGCGTTGTAGTAACGAGTCAAGCTTCCACTAAACTCTTGCCTGCCTTTGGCCTGTGCCCAAACGAGTCTGATGTGAAATCATCCATATAAAAAATGTGTTTCAACTACTCCTTCATTTTCACGCAAATCAAATATATTTTCATTTGAAACGTTTGGCAAGAGTGGTACAAAATATACTGTGAAAACCCTCCACAACATATAGATTACTTCATGGAAAGTGCGCGCGTACGGTATTTACGCACGAGTTGTTGACGTATTAGAAAACGAAAGAGTGAGCGTAGCGGACGAGTGAGTTTTCTGATACACAAACAACGAGTGCGTAAATACCGTACAAAGCACTTTCCATGCTTTAATTTGTTTATTTTATACTTACTAAGATTTTCACCCTCAACCAGATTTTCGCCCTTCATTCGGCAGAACAAATGTCAAGTTATTTTTTTTATTGAGTGCAAGCACTTTGTCGCTTCTTCAAAAACCTAGTGTAAATATTTTTTGTACACAATGTTTACCTGGTCATCAGTCAACGCTTCAGCTGCGTTTGATTTGTTTCCCTTGCCTTGCTTTTTTTTTAAGTCGTTTGCTTCGAGCTTCCAGACATTTCCTTGCTTGGTAAAACTCTTTGTCGTCGATAATGCATACGGCATATTTGCCTCCTTTAAAACTTTTCTTGCCTCTTCCTTCTGTTTTAGGAATTCGCTAAGCAAGCTAACCTAACGTCTCGTCGGGTTTTTGCTCGAGTCTTTTTGTTCTGCTCCTAGATGTACTTTTTAATGGGTTTATCTAAAGCGAGAAACCTGTTCGAACTTTCCGCCATTGTCTGTGGTTTATAGCTAATTTGCGAGAAAACTGAGAAAACTGGAGTAAACTTGTGGAAACGCCACAAACTTCTGTGAATGAAGATTGAAGAGGCGCCAACAACAACGCGAACGCGTTGCGAACTGACTGATTCATTTTGACAGCCGATTTCTGATTAGATGAAACGCTTTTCCCACGTGTGAGAAAGTCGTTTCGCAATTGTGATTGGATGAAGAAATTTCCGTATGCGTTCATGCGATCGATTCTATCCGAAAATCTCAGTAAGTATGGAAATAGTGAACCTTTATGTATGAAGTAGACTGCTTTCGTTCTGACTTCAGAACTGCTTGTTTCTTTGTTATACTCGAATGAGTTTTCGTCACATGACATCGTTTTGCATACTAAATAAGACGCAAAGGCGTTTCCGGTTCCGCTATTTTCATCAAACCGGCTTATGGAACAATACACCAATATCTAAAATTCAAGGTGATAAAATTGTGCGATGTCAAAATGGATCAAAATGCATTATGGGAAGGCCTTCCAACCCCCCACCCCTTCCCCTGCTCGAAGATAGATAAGATAAATAAGTCAAGGACCGCTGAGTCAAGGATAAAGAAAATGTCGACTTGTGGCAAGTCTACCGTCCACATGCATCCGGCGAATTCGGCAGCGAATCCGGATATTTTTGTTATGTGTGGACGGGGAAATTTTTTAATCCGGAGAGAAAAAGTTGCGGATTCAAAAATATCCGCATACGGGTGGACGGGGCCTTAATCGTGGAAAGAAATTTGATCGGGGCAGATTTTGATCACGTGCTAGGTAACCACTCCGGAAGAAAAATTAACGCCCGGGCGGAGTGTGGGGGAATTCAGCGGGCATGCTTTTACTTAAAAATATGTTGTGTAAGCGTCACGGAATATTTAAGTACCTTTCACACAGGCCTTTAAAGTTAATTTCTTTATTTAGGTGTCATCAAGTAACGCTTAAACCTTTCAAAAGTGTGCACTCGTTCAAAGTTGCACACCTGCTATCATTTTTAANGCACTACTGATGAAAGAATGCACTATTAAACACACGCTACATTCTGAAAGTTTCCCCACGGCGTTCATTTTTTAATTTGGGGATATGGTCATTCTCTAACATCTTTAAAACTTCTCATTATCCTTTTTTCTATCCTCAGTACTCAGTGCCCAGCGATTTTGTGATTGTCGTTAATATTGTGCAATCATTCCGGCAGCGGTGATCGAGGAGCTGGACAAATTCTAAGGAAGAAATCGATCTGTACGAGACCTTATCCCAATACTCACATGTTACATTTTAGAATTGACTCATTATGGTATCTGACTTGCAAAAGCACTACAACAAGCCAACACCACATTGATTATAACACAAAACGTCGTTCTCCAGTGAAAAATAAACTCTCGACCACCAGACATGATAGCAGCTTTTACTAATAAGCAATTAGGTCAATTAGCCGTGAGTCCGATCCGAAAGGATTATCGGGAGAAACTTAAAAAGGATAACAGTTAAATTCAGAACCAAAATTAACTTTCAGGTTGTTTTATCTTAAGGAGCAACGCGGGCATACCATTGAATAGAACTCGTATGTGATGCGGCTGATCAGGCACACACTTACGGTCCAATGTCCCAGAAACAAGGACAGATTTAAAGTAGTTGTCTAATCAATGAGAACATGTTTGAATCGTAGCGTGATATTAACTGTATTGGAATATTGACCTAAACCAGTTGCGTGCTTCCGTATTGACTTATAAATACTTCCTTGACGTAATTACTCGGAAATGGTTAGGTTGAAAGAGGAAAACATAGGAAGAAACCCACAAAAACGTCAACATTTATTGAATGTCCTGAAATTGCCATTCGAGTAAGCAGTGTGTAGTTTGCCTGTGTAGTTGTACAAAATCTTAACGGCTTAAGATTAGTGATAACGAATAACAAATGATTACAAATGTTTTCTCCTTCCCCCAGTCATTCGAAAGACCGTCTGATTTCGAGATGGCTGTGGCATAGATCTACTGAAGATCTAGGAATTTTTTAACGAGCTTTTTCTTGATCCTTAAATTTCACAACTTCTTAAGTTGTGTGTATAACTGCGATGATCCATCTTGTCTTCATTTCCGTACCATTGTCCCGTACCATTGATGTAGTTTAGCCTCGCCTGTAAAACAGACGGTTTAGCGGGACAGCCGGAGTGCAAAGCACTGAGTGCTAAATCGCCTGTTCTGCAGGCTAGTTTAGCTCAAGCATTATCTACACTTCCCAACAAGAGATTCTTCCAGTCTTGCAGAATATTTTGAGTCTATACCATGAAACGACGTTTTTCTGCGACGTTTCTCTAAACTTTTTCGAGACCGTCGTTGGGTTGGAAAATCTCACCCATGGTTCAAATATTGGTTGGCAGTGGGTTTCCTCTTAAACTTCTCAACCGAAAATTTGTTGAGAAGTTTTCTTTCATTTAAATGCTTTGTACATGTTAAAGCGGAGATTGAAATTCCTTTGGTGTGTATTTGACAAGTTAAGGCAATATAGTAGCCTCGTTTTCAAGACACATGACGCTGCTATTGCCACCCGTCCCTAATGGAAACCCTTTGACAAGGCACAAAACCACTCCAAGCGCCACCAACGTTTGTATTCGCGACACAAAGGGAAACCAACAAACTCTCCAGGCTTTTTAATTCAAAATATTGCAAATGAGTCAACAGAGGCAACCTATCTTATAAGTCTGTTGAATTAATAATTTCAAATGTTGCGATACTTTCCATAAAACTAAATACTTATCGTGGCCGAACACAGTTTTTGATACCTATTCATTCAGTATTTTTCTAAAACCGACTCCATTTGGTCGCCAAAAATGGCAAGATTTAAGTTAACACAGACTTCGGTTTTTTGATAGTTTAGCTGACTTACGAGCTATTACCATGGCAACATAAATAGAAAGCGGTTTTACTTATTTGTAGAACATCTAGTCTTCAGATCTTTTTCATCGTTTGCATGCAGCAAGCTTGAAACAGTGTTCACACTATTTTAATGATGGTTTAACAGATTTTCAATTATCCTTTGTTGAAGGATAACTGCAATATCTAGAATTTCCGCTGTTAAATTTCATTTTGTTTTCAATACTTCATTAACTTATTTTCTAAACTATTTCCTTGCCAAATTTCGTGAAATTCTAAAAAATAGTTCTCGAGAAATGGGAGTGTTTCCGAGAAAGCTATTCACAGCACGCAGTCTCACTATGCTGCATTTAACCGAGTTCTTTCGCTGACAAAGAAACACCCGAGACATTCTGGGTTCTTGACATTGTTACTTTTTCGACATACTCTTCTTATAAAAAATAAAATATTAATGCACTTTTTTTATTTTTGAGGAAAAATAGCACAGATGGCGCGGGCATTGAGCAAATATAATGATCACTGTATCGACGCCATGTTTGTTTTTTGGGGGGATTTTCTTTCTTTTTTTTTTTGGCCAAACGTAGGGAAACGATAGAGAAAGTGGTCTATTGAAAGAAAAATAGGGATCACAGAACGTCCAAGATCGCCAAATTCACGCAGTTGTAGCAATAACGCGCGTTTGATTCATGACGTGACATATAACCTCCTTTGCACGCCAATGCGATCAAGAGCAGGGTATTCTATGGGCTTTACATCATGGCTCATGGAATCAAAAGCGCGTCACACATGCGAGTGGGATCCAAAACAGTGTACATATGTTCCTGTCACGCAACATTCTGTGGTTGAAGAGCGAGTTATATGCGCTTGCATCTCGGCTGGTGCAATCAGAAGCAGGTTTGTAAGAGCGTACAATCAAGAGCACGACGTTATCAACGCTTGTAGCACAGGCAGGTGGGACAACGAACAAGGTATTATATGCGCTAGTCATGCAGCCTTGTATGATAAGGAGGAGGACAGCGCATTCTTGTCTAATACTGAGTTGCGCTTCGGGAGCAGGAATATTTTATTGCAGTAAGAAACAAAACTTGCCAAATCACACAGCTGGTCAGTGCGACCAAGAGCTGCGTATTAACTCGGCTTGTAACGAAAGCCAATTAGTGGCGCTGGCAACACCGGCTAGTGCGATCAACAAAAGTCAGTAACAACGACACAGGTTAGTGCGATCAAGATCATCATTAGCGTTTGTCAGGTAGCTTCACAGGTTATTATTAGCTTCTGTAACGCAGGCAAGTGAGATCAAAAGCGGAGTATTGTGCACTCATTTTGTAAGACTGTTCATGTTTGACTTGGCTTTAGGCTGTAAATAACCTTAGATTACCCAGTAGTGCGATCATGTGCTCGTCTTGTACATACATGTATATAAATATTTAGAGTGGAATCCCAATTCCTCTAACCTCAGAGGGAAACGCAAATGGGTTCAAAATATCGGGAGGGCTCCAGAAACTACTGCTTCACTCCAAATAAGATGCGATACAGTCAGCCATCAAATGTGACAGCACTTAGTTTCCAGTCCACCAGTTTTTTTTCAGTTCTTTTCCTCATTTTGCATCAGTCGAAACCACAGCCAGCAAGCAGTCTCGGCGATAAAAGAAGTGAGTCGATAAACAGTATTTCATCTTCTTCTGAAGGCCCGAGATATACGCCAAGCGTTTGGTTCTTCGTATCTGTTAATAGAACATTGAATGAGTTGAGTCAGGTACCATTCGGTTGACATACAATTGATAGGGACATTACTTCAAAGACTTTCTACATACTTTAGTTCGTCTAGTGTGATCGTCCGAGAGAGTGTAGCCTCAAAATTAGTGCCTGACCTTTACTGATTGGTCCGTTTTGCACTAATGCTATTGGCTGTTAAGAACGCTGTTAAGTTCGTAAAAAGTACATTGGTCTTGTGTATCCTTAACGTAGATTATTGGCGTTGTAGTAACGAGTCAAGCTTCCACTAAACTCTTGCCTGCCTTTGGCCTGTGCCCAAACGAGTCTGATGTGAAATCATCCATATAAAAAATGTGTTTCAACTACTCCTTCATTTTCACGCAAATCAAATATATTTTCATTTGAAACGTTTGGCAAGAGTGGTACAAAATATACTGTGAAAACCCTCCACAACATATAGATTACTTCATGGAAAGTGCGCGCGTACGGTATTTACGCACGAGTTGTTGACGTATTAGAAAACGAAAGAGTGAGCGTAGCGGACGAGTGAGTTTTCTGATACACAAACAACGAGTGCGTAAATACCGTACAAAGCACTTTCCATGCTTTAATTTGTTTATTTTATACTTACTAAGATTTTCACCCTCAACCAGATTTTCGCCCTTCATTCGGCAGAACAAATGTCAAGTTATTTTTTTTATTGAGTGCAAGCACTTTGTCGCTTCTTCAAAAACCTAGTGTAAATATTTTTTGTACACAATGTTTACCTGGTCATCAGTCAACGCTTCAGCTGCGTTTGATTTGTTTCCCTTGCCTTGCTTTTTTTTTAAGTCGTTTGCTTCGAGCTTCCAGACATTTCTTTGGTAAAACTCTGTGTCGTCGATAATGCTTGTGGCATATTTGCCTTCTTTAAAACTTTTCTTGCCTCTTCCTTCTGTTTGAGGAATTTGCTAAGCAAGCTAACCTTAACGTCTCGTCGGGTTTTTGCGCAAGTCCTTTTGTTCTACTGTTCCTTGATGTACTTTTTAATGGCTTTATCTAAAGCGATAAACCTGTTCGAACTTTCCGCCACTGTCTGTGGTTTATAGCTAATTTGCGAGAAAACTGGAGTAAACTTGTGGAAACTCTACAAACTTCTGTGAATGAAGATTGAGGAAGCGCCAACAACAACGTGAGCGCGTTGCGAACTGACTGATTCATTTTGACAGCTGATTTCTGATTGGATGAAACGCTTTTCCCACGTGTGAGAAAGTCGTTTCGCGATTGTGATTGGATGAAGAAATTTCCGTATGAGTTTTTCATGCGATCGATTCTATACGAAAATCTCAGTAAGTATGAAATAATGACAAATAATTTCTTGAGTGTCATTACTATAATTTTCAGTCAAAACAACATAAAAAATAAAAGATTTTTCTCACTAAAGCCAACTTTGAAAATTGTACCGTTTGGTCAAAAATCAAATTACCGCGCATACGCAGAAAAGCACGACATACAGTATACACCCGTTAAAAGGCCTTGCCTAGGCTTGCAAGTAGGCTCTTTGCGGGGAAAGAAGAAGAGCCAGCTCGCGGGCTACCTTGCCTATTGACTTATGAACATTTACAATTCCAGTCACTGCTTACTAGTACCAGTCCCCACCTGTTATACAGCGGCTCCAATCTCTCCTGCCTCTTGCGTTTGCTGAGTTTGGTGGGATTGCCCATCTTGAAGAATGCAGGTGCAAACTCCACTAGCCATTTAGGGTCCACAGTAGTGACTTCCCTCATGTACTCTTTAGTTGTTAGAACAAGTTCATGGTACACCACCCATTCCGGCTGCCTGTTAAACAGTGCACTTGAGGGGTGAATGTACACCACCTGGTTATCTGTGACTGTACGGTATCCTTCCTGTGGGTCCTTTCTTGCCGCGTTGCGAAAGAAACCGCTGGTTATGGCTTTTTGCGCCCGAGATGTTGTCTTGCCACAAGACACTACGTCAAGCTTGTGTCTGTAGATAGTATAATATAATTGAGACAGGTATTCGAAAGTCGTAAATTTTTTCTAGGCAGGCTCGATGAGTGTACAAAAGGTGCAAACAAACTCCGCGTATAGCAATTTAACTTTATGGAGTGTTTCTTGTCAAATGTTTGGGGACATCAACATTCACTATAACATATTAAAACCTTTTATTTTAATGCAACGGAAATACTTCCTGGCCGACACACAACTGTAGATTTCGCTCATGGTGCATATAGTGTTCAGTTCAAATTCTTACCTGTCCATAATCCCAAGCATTTGTTTCCTGATGTCTTGAGCCCGTCTTAGTGACCTCGCCTGCACAAAGTTCTCGAAGCACCATGGGTTTGAGAACTTGTTATTTTTCCAAGAATTGTAGACAGCAAGTAAAGTGAGATGATCTCCTTCAGCCTGGTGGAATTTAGCTTTCTTTTGGTCTGCAATTGCTTGTTTGTCCTGTAAAGGTCGAAAAAAACAGAAGGGGACTTACTAATACAATCCTCTGATGTTAATCTCAGTTATTTGGAGCTATGATTTAAGAAACAATATGAAAAAAATTCAAATTTCAAGGACATTGTCATGGCAATGTGCGTAACAGTATAACTTGACGTCTCTAGTTTACAACTATAGACAACAACTTAGTGGCTCAGTTGTCAGTAGAGGTGCTCACCTTAGGTCTGTAGAAGACGTTTTGTACGGACAACGTAGAAACAATGGTTAAGACCTCGTCACTGCAGCCAAGATGAACAGACTGAATTAACATCTTGGACAACTGTGGTTCTAAAGGAAACTCCGCCATTCTTCTGCCAAGTTTTGTCAGTAGGCCCTCATCGTCCAAGGCGCTGAGGGAGTGTAACTGCTCCATAGCAGAGATCATGGTCTAAAAACAAAAACATCAACTTAAGAATCTACATTGTTATCCAGGGCTCACTCGTCTATGACAAACTTTGGGGTCATAACCTTTTCGGTTTTAACGGGATAGCTATTAAACCCATAATATCACAGAGTTCGATTGACATGGCGGAAAATGTTTTCGGAATGTTGGAGCCATTTCGTTTTTGTAATCCGTTTTTGGTTATCTTAAGACAATCGACATTCCATTCTTTGTCTTCACAGACTTGTTCTCTTATTCAAGTTCTTTTGTATCGTTTACTGTGTTCATGGAATCACAGAAGCAAAAACTAATGAACACCGACATTACGCAAACACTTTGTAACACACTTAAAGTTCTTTCAAACGCTATAAACAAGACAAAGAACGAATTGAAACTGAAACCAATTGTGGGAACAAGCCCATTCAGTAATGAGGAACAAAACACTACCTCCATAGGCGGAGGATCCATGAAGTCAAAAGACAGTAAATCATTGATTCCCATCGCTTTGAGTGACAGGATAGTGCTGGCCAAGTTCGTTCTTTGGATCTCTGGTACAGCAGTCGGGAGCATCTCATCCCTGTACGCACGCTCTGTGTACAGTCGATAGCATTTTCCAGGACCCGTTCTCCCTGCTCGGCCTGAGCGTTGCTTGGCTTGAGCCTGCAATATTAATTGCATTAGAAACAGTAAGACAAGTGAACAGTCACTGGGCATTTTAATTTAGATTAATCACCTACAAAACCTTTAATTTAAACTCTCCATATAGTTCACAGGTTATTGTAGGGAGAATTTGATTATGTATATGAGAATAATTTTTCCTTATTTTCTTGAAATGAAGTATAAGAAGCGGGGTTACGCTAAGAACTTTACTTAATGAAAGTTATTAGCAGCTTGAGTCAAATCTAAGAATGATTTTAGCGGGTCTTACTGTTGCTATGGTAACCTATTGTGCCACAAAAACGATAACAACGTGTTCACCAATGATTGGGTAGTTTTGTGATACCATGATGGTAGCATCAACTGATAAATAGTGGTTATAATGACCCTCAAAATCTAAGTCTTGGAAAGTGCTGGAAACTGCTGCCACCCACCTTAAAGTTTACTGCTAGTTTCACTTTATTAACAAAATTCATCGTCTGGACTATACTATGAAAAGGCGAAATCTAATTTCGTAATACGAACTGCTACGAAGAAACGAATTAATTTTGCAGTAGTAATTTTTCAAAACATGGAACAAAAACGTGTTATCTCTTCACTCAGTAATTAGGTCAGGTGATCGGCCTGTTGTTTAGTTGGTCGATTGGTAGGTCAGTCAGTGGGCTAGTTGATTGGTGTGACAGTCAGTCAGTGGGTTGGTTGGTCGGTCAGTCGGTCAGTCAGTCAATCAGTCAGTCAGTTGGTCTATCGATCAGTCAGTAGGTCAGTCAGTTGGTTGGTCAGTCAGTCAATTGTTTAGTCAGTTAGTCAGTGGGTGGGCCAGTCAGTCAGTCCATTGGTCAGTCAGTCGGTTGGTTAGTCAGTCAGTCAGTCAGCTGCCCAATCAGTTAGCCGTTTGTTTAGTCAGTCAGTCTGTTAGCCTGTCAGTCACTTAGTTATTCAATCGGTTGGTCAGTTGGTCAATCAACCCCTGTTTGTTTAGTCAGTCAGTGGGTGGTCAGTCAGTCGGTTGGTCAGTCAGTCACTTAGTCAGTCAGTCGGTTTGTCTGTCAGTCGGATGGTCCGTCAGCTGGTCAGTCGGTCAGTTGGTTGGTCTGTCAGTCAGTGGGTCGATTGGCTGGTTGGTTGGTGAGTCAGTCAGTTGATCGATAAGTAAGTCAGTTGGTCAGACAGTCAGTCAGTTGGTTGTTGGGATTGCCAGTGGATATTTTCAACTGTATATTTCATTTGCAACGTCTGTTTCAGGGATTGAGCGAACCCAATTCAAGAAACGTTTTTAGTCTGTGTTAATTGTCTCCGATTTTGTATCCTCTGATTTTTCTCATTCGCTGTTCGAATTTCTTCACAGACAAATTCGAAATTAACATTGGCGTGAGAGTGGGCCAAGACATCAGTAATGTTATAAAAAGGCATTATAACATGTACTTTACTGAGTTAATACCAAAACTCCAATGCAGGAAGTAGTCTATGTCTCCTGCACATGCTGATTAAGAAATAGAAAACATCTACCGTGCTTCTATCGAGTTTTAGTATAAATCTACTGGTGTTCTATCACGAATGCCGTTCTCTGATTGGCTACGTTACTCACTATCTATTCTGTTGTAGATAGTGAGTAACGTAGCTTCGTGCCCTTGTTAACAAAATGACGGCCGCTTCTTTGCGTTTTCGAAGTTTCTGTGAAGAGGATTTAGATAAAGTTTTGAACGACTAGTTTATTTATACTAAAACAATTAGATTATTAGCTCTCGATTTCTATGCGTGATAGTTGACTCGGGCTGCGCTCACGCGATAGAAATCTCGAGCTGATAATCTAATCGTTTAATAGAAACACGATTTTAACCAATCAGCGCGCGTATTTTCTTAGGGCTGTTTTCTAATACAATATACAGCTGAGTAACAGTTGATAATATCAAGTTGGCAGACAACATAGTCATACTATCCCTAAATGAAGAATTCCTTTTTGTATTGTGACCATTTCCAGCAATAATAGGTCATTGATTGTCCGACTGATTAACTGACTGACTGAATGACTGATTGATTGATTGATTGACTGACTGACTGACTGACTGATTGATTGATTGATTGATTGATTGATTGATTGATTGATTGATTGATTGATTGATTGATTGAGACAACAACAACAAAGACGTTGTTAACCTGAGAGATGGGCGTGACAACCAAAGCGTCAATTCCAGACTTCGAGTTGTAGACTTTTTGTTTGACAAATCCCGGATCAACCACATAGTAAATACCGTCAATGGTCAAGGACGTCTCTGCAATATTTGTAGCAATTACTACCTGTCAAGGAAAACAAATCGCCATTAATTCCAAACAGAGATCCGATATTGAAAGGTCTTGAAAGAAAAGAAAGCGTATAGTTAGAAACAAATAGTTTAAGATAGCATCTCTTTTCTCCGTAAAACCGCGATACATTAAGAAGGGGCAACTTGGCGGGTTTAACACTTATTTTTTTCAGCAACACGCATTTAATATAGCTATACGGGCAATTTTGCCAGACATATCAGACGAGTTAAGTGGAACCATGGTTCGTATTAGAGTTAAGTATGTCCATTGCCAGACAAAATGAAAAAGAATTCTTCCAGTCAGGTTTTACTTTGAATTGTTCATTAGAGTCAGGCGTTGTGTGCATTCCTATTTGTATTTCTGATAGTTTATGGTTTAAAAAAGAAATAACTTGGGGTCGAGAGTCTCACCATGTACACTCTCCTTTATCCGCGGGATTAATTTGGCAAAACGTGGTCGAAGTGAACCTGTTTGGTAAGACAAGCGCGAACACGAGACGTGACGTATCGTGAATAGGAAGGGTTGTTATCAAGAGTTACAGATAAGCAGATTTGTTGCGTCAACTCACAAAAGACTACGAAAACAAATTAGAATTCACTTAATAACAACCATTCAGTTAATATGTTGGTCTTGGTGCTGTAGAAGCACTTTCTGTTCGCTCGTAGGTACTGACCGGTAGTTGTAAATGCAGCAAAATCGCCGCGATAGTATCCTTCAATTTTTCTTCGTAAACATCTTTCCTTAAAATTTTTCCATTTTCATATTTGCTCTAAATGGTGCAATCTATTGTAGGAAAATCCAGCAACCGTGTTTAAACTTTTCCAAACTCTCCATGATACCGCAAGATTTGAGCAAACTGGACAGTAGATGGAGGTGGTTGGATGATTTTGGGTAGACTAAACTACAGCAACTATACATAGCACTTTGGACTAAAGTTACCTTTCTGCTTCCAGGAGGGGCAGGGTCAAATATTCTGGTTTGCATCTCTGATGGCAAGGCACTGTACACCGGCAAAATAATGAGTTCAGGTACATCAGGTCCCAGGCTCTTCATACGCTCGTATAAAATCTCGCAAGCCGTGTCAATTTCCTCTTGACCTAAAAACAATGAAAAAAAAAAATCAATATTTCATCACATTTAACCACGGTGACATTCTAAGAGAAAAGACTTAAAACCAAACCAAGTGACCAACGAGAGGAGAAAAATGGAACAACAACAAAAAAAAAAACAGTAGAAATGTGAAGTAGATGACAAATAAACCTGTTAAAAACACGAGAATATCCCCTGGCGGCTCCGTCAAGTGGATCTGCATGACAGTAATGAGAGAAGCGTCAAGGTAATCCGTCTCTGCTTCTTTCGTGTACAAAATCTCAACAGGAAATGCTCGTCCAGGGATTGTAAATATGGGAGCCTCGAAGAAATAAGTCGAGAACTTCACTGCGTCCAGCGTGGCTGACGTTACAATCAACTTCAAATCAGGACGCTTTTTCACAGTTTTCTTCATCAGTCCGAAGAGAACGTCGGTATTAATGCCGCGCTCGTGCGCCTCGTCGAGAATAACGATGGCGTATTGATTTAAATCAGGGTCAAGTAGACACTCTCTCAGCAGCATACCGTCTGTCATATATTTGATCTTAGTTTCGGAGCTTGTACAGTCTTCAAATCGAATCGTGTATCCCACTTCTTGTCCGAGTCGACAGCCATACTCTTCAGACACTCTTTTGGCGACTGACATAGCGGCAACTCGTCGGGGCTGAGTACAAGCAAGTTTTCCGACCGAAAGAAGGCCTTCTTCAGCTAGGTACTGTGTAATCTGTGTTGTTTTACCGCTGCCTGTTTCACCAATGACAATCAAAACTTGATTTTCGTGGACAGCCTGTTGAAAAAGAGGGAATGTATTAATACGAAGAATACGGAGAGGTTGGCTAGTTCAGCTGATTACCTTTTTGAGCGTCATCAAAACACTGAGCTGACTTGAAAAATTTCTATTCATGGGGAACGGCTTCAAATTTCTGACGAAAGTCGACAGCAAAACGAGTCAATTTGAAATCGTTGTTAAGTCGTTAGCGCGTTTTAATACACAATTTAAAGTCAAGCTAGAGGACGTTATAGGAGTGATCAGATTATGCAAATGAGTAGTCGGTCGGTCGAACGATCTTCCGTAAACTTTTCAAAATGGCTGCTAAAGAAAGCGATATCTTTCACGTTTGGAGTCGCACAACTACTCCCAAGTTAACGGTTATTTGAAATACAACAAACGAGGGTATGTAATTCGATACATCGATAGCTTCGACAGCTTTTAATCGAAGCGTTGAATCATCTACGAGGGTTTCACGCTCGAACAGTGTTTTTCTTCCACTACTTTTATGGCTTGAAAATGTTTATTTTCTAATTCCCAGGTAACACAAACCATCCATTACTAGCTCGAGAGAAAAAAAGTTCCCACGCCAAGATTCGAACCCGCGACCTTCAGATTATCGCATCTGAAATCTTACCACTTCGCCAACTTGCAACTGATGGATTATTTATGAAGAACATTGTGAACAAATGGCTGGCAAAGTGATAAATTGATTTTTGGCATCTGCTGCAAAATTAATGACTAATTGGTATACAACAAATAATAAGCAATCTTTTTATCACCCTGACCCTTGCCATATGTATTACATGAACATGTCTGTATCAAACATCACGAGTTGGCTTAAAGAACCGTTGATCATTCAACCTCTCAAAAGAGATGGCAATCAACACGGAACAAACCTTGAGCAGTTCTTGTCGTAGTTTGTATATGGGTAATCCTTGCCTCTGTTCAAGTATAGTCAAGTTTGTTTTCTTTCCATATGATGCTTTGTTTCCACCAAATGTAGCTCGTTTCCACTCGGGCATGTCTTCATTTGCCAGTCCGACTCCCCGCATATCCTGAGCGAAGATTGGCTTATCACCGTTCACTAAACAGGAAGGGCAAAATTATGATGACTACCCAGGCTACACAACACACGCTCAAAATTAGGATGCGTGTAAGTTTTGAAGTAACCTAGTCTGTTTGAAAACTTATTTACCTTGACAGACTAGGGTGCTTGAAAAGTACTGACAACACAGGCCACGAATGAAGCAAAGACTCGTCCCTTCAACTAATATACAGTAGAACCTCTATAAAGCGGCCAAACCTTATTAAGCTGCCAGTTATCGAAGTCTCGAAATAATAATTGTCAGTAAAATATTGTAAATAAATCCCTGTTAACCGGCCACCTCTACTAAGCAGCCGCGGCCACCCTTTGGTCGTCCCGATGCGAGCTTTGCTCATGTCTTTACCCCTATTGAACGGCCGCCCAAAATTTAATACACGTAGTTTGCCCTTTTCTGGGAAAAGGCGATAACAGAGAAGACTCTGAAATAGAAAGGGAGGCCTGATAAAAACATTCAAACACACCTTTAAATCATGATACTCTAGACGTGATTCCATGTTCACTAAGCAGTTAACTCGATGGTTAAAAAGTATTCAAAGTACCCCAACCCTTATAAAGCAACCACCTCCCATCTCCCAGAGGGTTTTTAACTGAGCTAACCCAGAAAAAAAACAGGACTGGTTAATTATTTCGTGGTATCACTTTGGAAAGAAGTTCTTTTTCAGTTAAGAATGTTACAAGTACCCATGCAATAAGCGTTCTTGAAACTTCCAGCTTCCACAAATGAGGCTTCAAATCAAAAGACATGCATCAATTACTTACCATCTGGAACAGGGTCAATCCAGAGCTTGCCAAGGTCTTTGGGTATGCTATCTGCCTGCGCTTCCCTCTGAGCTTGTTTCAGTTCTCTCCTTTCCTTGGCCAACGCGCTTTGAGTCATGGCGGCTCGTTGTAAGGAGCCATCAGGATTCTGTGTAACACGTGTAACATGTTCAGGGGTTAATACAAAATCAAGAATTGGAGAATTTCAAACTGTGCTCTATTTTGAGAGGAAATTCTTATGTTTTGTGTAGTTTGAGATTATTCAAACTTAAAACAGAAGGCCAAACAATATAACTAGTAATAGTTGTCACTAAAGCTGCCCCCGCTTTCTTTTATTTCTACTGATTGAAAACAACTGAACATTATTGTATGAAGTAAAACTTCTATATCTTATTTTTGTAAACTTTATCAGTCATAATGTTCCTATAACTTAAGCATCTTATCATGGTTGTTATCCAAACATTCAACTGAATAAACTAAACCAACACTTTCTCAATGGCGCAGAATGGCCGGACATCATTATTATTCATACCTCATAAGCATGCATTAGCATAAGAGTGACGCGATGAAGCGCGAAATTTGAGTTCGTGAATCTTGCTTAAGCACCACTTTCACCGTTCCCTTGGGTTTTCAGTAATGGTTGAAAGTGTACTTTTCAGTCTGCCCGATTTTGCTGCGATCTCTGACGAACATTTACGATTGCAGCCGACCATCAAAGTCGGAAGCTATCATCAGCGTGAGGTATCATCAGAGTGACGAAATACATTTGGCAATCAGAGTGCGGTGTTGACACTGTGAGGATAGATATTTGAAGTTGTAACTAAGTTTGCCCGTGTTCTGAGTAATCTTTCAAATTCTGCCCAGAGGAAAGAGCAAGATAAGTGATAATATTTCTTGAGACGACTACTAAAGCCTTTTGAAGTACTGATAAATTTTTGAGCTTCAGTGAACGCGTTTATCGTTGTTGGATTTAACCTTTTGAACACCGATTTGAATGAAACATTTGCTCATTTGTCGAACAGAAAATCGGCGACTGAATTAAATTCGACGTTTGAAACCACTGCCGTTCTTTCGTCATACCACTACTGGGCCAAATTCATTTGAGTTCGTCACTGCAGTAGCACGACGTTTGGAATAGGCCTTAGCTTATAAGTTTGATCGGCAATGTTCGCTTTTATATCACTTTAACCCAGCAAAAGATAAACTGCCGGGACAAGAAGAGAAGTTGAGAAGGAGGGATTGCTGTATTATATTTCTATGTGTAAATAACTTTGACTTTCATAAATTCTTATTTTATCGTTGTGATAATATCAGAAAAGAGAAAAAGCGGTCACTGTGCACGACAGTTAGTCTCTTTGTTTGTCGGGTTCGAAGCAGGTGGCGTAAGTCAAAGGAAAAGAAACAAGTGTGATTTGTAAAAGTCGATTAACGAATTAAGATGTTTTGTTTTACTAATTAAAAAGTGAAAAAAACAGCAGCCTCCGAAAGAGCAAAAGTTTACGCAACTCAGTTATCATTAGTGCAAGCAAAATATTGCCAACTGACCATAGATTTTCTTCTTCGGATTTTTTTTCGTTGCCTGTGGAAAGCGGAGATGATCGTTCACAACAAGTTCAACATTAAGCTTTGTGAAGGTGAATTAATCAACATGACACGAGCGTGGGACAAAGAAAAATTCTGAGTCCCCGACAGGAATCGAACCCATGACCTCCCGAACACCGGG